TCAAACAATTAAAAGCATTTTTTTGTACTGACATTAGTTAGTTAAGTTTGTTAGAACTTGCCTGTAGCTCAGCACTATGACTAGTGATAGCACATAAGGATTTGAGCATGGGGATAAGATATGAAGGGGTGGAAAATGGATGTGCCATTACAACTGCTCCCATAGCTAATACTGCACCATGTAAAGTACATCGATGTGTGCTTTTAAAATAGGAATCAATTTTTTCCTACAATAAAGAGTTTAGGATTGCTCGAGTGTGGACGTAAGAAAACATCTACCCAATTATTACCTGCAGAAATTTGTCAATTTTAACATAATCACAGAAAATTAGAGTAAGCAAACATCGAGATGCTTCAAGGCGTACTTCCACCTCAATTAATAAAAGGCTGCTCAATTACTTTATTTTTATGTGTTCATGCTGACTGCTTACCTGTCTATCTTTGAGAGCTTCAAATAATAATTGTATTACCTTTGTTGGAACAGAACATCTTTCTAGGATATAAATATTGGAAAATACGAGAACTTGTAGGTATTTCAACACAGAAACACGGACACGCCATAAACCAGTCCTATGGAAGGTCTGAACATAAAAAACCATGCTATTGGGATAAGTCAAAGCTAGGCTCCAATCTCCAACGTACCCTGATCACAACATCGGGGAAAGATTCTGCAAATCTTGCATTCACTAGTAAACTAGACATGTACTCGTGCACTAATGAACTAGCATTATTTCTAATGTCAATGTCTTTGAATGACTCGTTGCTCCTGAAGTTTTAGGTTCTGAACGCTCAACAATGAAAGAACTCGAGAGGGACTAAATCTTACTCGTTTTCATCCTCATTAGCATACTCTATAAGCATAGGAAATAGAGAAATAATGCCTGGTGTTAAGCATGTCATACAATCATCATAATATTGCAAAAGGAATTCAAGTAATGTTCTTAGATAGATCTGCGGCTGAATAATAATGCGACATTAATTTGAAATCCTTCAACCAATAAAGATTAATGCCACTCACCTCTGCACTGTTATCCCTATTATCCCTATCTGGAGGGGAGGATAAAAGTTTAGAAGCGATCTCTTTAATTGATGGACTACTACGTTGTGTTGGATTTTCCTTCAGTGCGACCGATGTTAGAGAATTATCAGTGCTGGCAAGAACGTCTATCTAAAACATAATTTCTTAAGTTTGCTTCACCGATTTGAACAATTTTCCAACCTTCTTCTCAAACCGTTTTAGCCATACATCTATGCTTTCCAGCTGAAATCGTTTCGGAAGACTTTTAAGGTCATTATTCATGTTTGCTTCCAGTACGGTACAGACATGTTTTAGAGACCTGAAACATCACACTTATGGCATTACAGTTGGCCTAGTAGTAATACTCTCCTTAAAAAGGTTTTCTTTAGTCCACATCATTCTCAGGGCATCATTAGCTGACAAGGCTTAATATTTTCAAATGAAGCCACAATTTTACTTCTACCAATCACTATTATAAGTGGCTGTTTTTGCTTTACTACGGACGGAATATGTGTCACATCCTAGTCAGTGGTCTTTCAAAAATTAAACTGTAAAATCAATATACTTCTTGCGTCAAACACTGTTTTTGTCCTACAATTTATCATAACGATAGCTAGCTTGAAAGGA